CGCGCGCCCCACGGTCTGGACCGAGACCAGAGACCACCGACTGGAGAGAGCAAGGAGGGCGAAAAAGAAATAAAAATATTTTTATTTTCTATAAAAGGAAAAAAGTATAACAAAATGTTTTATTTTCATTTTAGCAAAAATTGTCTTATAATACTAGCTAACGGCAAAGACGTTTTTATAGGGAAACTATTTATATGTAACATCCTGATTTACAGCTTCAGAAAAAAAAAACAAAAAAAAAAGAGAGATGGGCCAATTTTTTGACTCTTTAATAGAAACCTATATTGTGGTGCCTTTTGCTGTACGCTACTCTGGGGCTCCTGGAGAGAAGTCTGGGTTTCGTGGAGTTGGGTTGGGGATGGATCCCGAGTTGGTTGGGGGTGAGAGAGCTGGGAAAGAAGAGGCTGCAGCGGGGGAGGGTCTGGTAGGGCGGTGAGCAAGAAACTGAAGTCAAAAGTAGCTTCGCCCCGGGCCTGATCTGGAGTCTGGGGGGTGGGGGCTGGGAGGAGAGGGCAGGATCCTAAGCTTAGAGCTGGAATTGGTGTCAGGTGACTTACAGAGAGAGACACAAGACCCAGCGACAGCAACCTGAATGGGGAGGGATCCTCCCCGCTCTTCACAGCTGCTAAAAGAGAACGGAGAGGTTCCCTCAACCGCTGCGAGCTCAGGGAGGGGGCCGCTCTGCCTGGGGCCCAAGGTTCACGGCTCCTCCTCCACTTTGGCCTCCAGGACGCCCTCTGTCCTCTGCAGCACCTTTGTTTACAGGTCGTCTTTTCTATTTTATGCCTGCATGTCCTTTGCATTTCAGATTCTTTAGATTGGATGCATGGTCACGCTGGGACCGAGAAGAGCCACTCCACAGTGTATTCTGTTCCCCTTTTAGCAATAACACCATTTCCTTCTCACAGCCAGCCCCACCCCACCTGTGACTTCCATTCCCTCTCCAGTCTTGCCCTCCCCAACCTTCAAAACTGGATCCAATGCTAATTTGTCAAAATAAACAAATTAATTAAAAGGCAATTGTTTTTTAAAAATTCCCAAACAGAAACAAATGGGAACCCTGCCCTGAAATGTCGGAACACCTGACTGTTGACACTTGAACATTTTTATATTATAAATAAAATCAGAAATACCTGCTGTTTGACTGTGTGTGCCTACCCACCAGGAAAGGAGGGAGGACAGATGAGGACTGTGGTGAGGGGAATGGATGTTGCAGCGAAGGCAGAAGAGGGCAGGGCAATCTGGGAGGAAGTGTCCCTCTCTCCAGTCTCCCTGGCCCCAGCTCCCAAGACAGGCTCCAACCTTCCTCCCTTTCCCAAAAACATTTACAGGGTGTCCCCCTGGCTGCTAGGGAAACTGGCCAAGAGACTGACGCAAATTGCTCTGCTTCAAACTCAACCTTAGAACTCGGGCCTAGTTCCTGCCTCGAGGCCAAGGGGCTGGACTGAGGCAATAGTTTCCGGACCTCAGTAGGTGAGGAGGGAAGGGTTGTAGGGCTGGCACTGAGCAAAATGACTCTTGGGGTCTCGGCACATCACTGGCAAAGTCCATACATGCTAGGCACCATAATGGGTACCCTCACTGCCAGGGGGACCACAGTAACTGCAGCTGAAAAGCCCACCGGATATTGCTTTTTTTCCAACTTTATATCTCTTTGGAGGCAGGGCCTGTCTAAACCCGCAGCCCCTGATGAAGAGTACATGATTCCAGGTATGAAGACAGCAGATGAAGGTCCAGGCTTATCCCCTCATTGACTAATTTATTAAACCAGTGCCCAGCCCCAGGAACCAGTAGGTTCCAGTCAGAACATGAGAAAGTCTCTCCTAAGAGCTGTGGCTGTGTGGGTGGATAGATGTGTGCACACACATGCACACCTGTGATTGCCCAAGTGTTTAGTCAAGAGACCCACAGGAAGAACAGAGGTTCAAGGTTGAGGGAGCCAAGACACCAGTAGGGCCTGAGTTTGTTCCAGTGCCAGCTCTTCTCCATCACTAGTTGTGTGATCTTCCTAGGCTGAGGTTTCCTCCATGTGAATGATGATACAAACACCTACCTCAAAGGGTTGCTGTGGATATTACAGTAAGACTGCTCCTGGGAAATGTCTAGTAAGTGGCTACTTCAGCGACAGTGTTGACAGTGTCCTATGCCTTGTATCTTTGAATCACACAGAGTGGCAAACACTGGATGAGAGGCAGGAGATGGAGAAAAATAAAGGAAGGCCTTTGTCATTGTATTCATTGAGGAGACACTGGAAAAATACCTTTTGCAAAGGGATGAAGGAAAATAATGAACTAAATCCTCCACAAACCTGAAAATCATTGCCCTCTCGCAAGTCCCATCCAAAAGTCTCATCCAGGCCCTCCTGCTCTGAGTTTGCTTTAAAATTTTCTGAGAGCCAGTACTTCTTTGTGACCACTGACCTCTATGCGGTCCCAGATTAACTCCCTATGACCTCTTGGTAAACCCACTGACTTTATCCTGACCCACTTTAGCATCCTCATTTAATCCTTTGGGGACTCTGAGTTGTTGCCTTCTAGTTTTCAGTGAGAAACCAGCTCCATGACTCCAACTCACCAACCGCAATGTGGTCCCCAGTTAATTCAGAATGACCTCTTGCTGACCTCATTGACCTTTACAGGACTCCATTTGATATCTTCATTATCTCCCCTGGATACTAGGATACCTGTCATCATACTTGGCCAAGAATCAAAGGCCACAATCTAATAACATTCCTACGCGCTTCTCTATCATGTCATCTACCCATGTTTCACAGGAATGCCTGGGACCTGAGGGCATGCTGACCAGAGGCCCCTCCCCACTCTGCCTCTCAAGTGTATGCCTTGGGGGACCTTTAACATGGCCTTTCAGAAAGTGCTACACTCCTGTTACACAAGTTCCCTTCCACCGCCCTGTATCCTGGTACACTTAGGATATTTGGATGGTTCCAGAGTAAGTTTGCTTCCCTAGTCTCTATATTCTTTTTCCCCTCCTCTGGGTCACTTCTGAAGTCTCACCTCAGCCCTTCCCAGCATCCCAAATAGTAAATACCTGTCACTTTTCCCATTAGATTGGACCCCAAGAGGACAGGGAGCTGGTTGGACTTTTTCATCATCACACTGTCTCCAGCACGGTAGGCAACAAGCATTTGACCCTCACGGAAGCCCAGGGTGAAAGCACAAAAGGGTGAGCTGTCACACAAATCATAAACCCGCAGCCGCTACACAGGTCCACCAGGTGGCGCAAACCACTTATTGTATTTCACCAGGGCCTGGCTTTGGATAGTCCTAGAAAATGAGCAATTAGGGGCAGAAGTTGTAGGGGAAACACGATGGTCCCTCACAATACAGGAAAAAAAATTTGAACTTTGATTTAGATTTATTTTCATCTCATCTTTTTTAAATTTCTATTTTTGTGTATGTTTTATATGTACATAGTATTTTAGTACAGTAGTACATGTATATAATTTACAAATAAATAATTGTACAATTAAGGAGGCTAACTAAAAATTTCTTTACTGATGCGAGGCACAACTAGTGCTCAGAGAAGCACATCTGTTTGAAGCCGGCAGAGCTCACACTCTGCTGTTAGCACTCACCCTCATGAAGTAGTGGGCAGTGGGACATGGACTGAAAATCAAAGGACCTTGGAGGCAGTGTGGAGAAATAGAGCAAGCTTTTTTATGTTGCCATATTGCCTTTTCAATTCCATTTAAATGAACATTGACTTCCCTTGAGCAAAATGAAAGGACCAGATGGTTTTGTTATAAAATACTTCTGCTCATCCAAGTTAAATAATCTGGATTTAAATCACTACATCTCTCCACCTAGTCACATGTCCCTGCATCAAATGTGAGTGAGCTTGTAAATGTTAGGTACTTAGTTGCGAGGTTGGCTTATCTTATTAACTAAATGTTACCACAGAGGTCAAACTGCTGGCCAAACTACAGAAATCTGCTTAATCATTAGGAAGATTGGCTCATCACAGCCACACTGAGTGTGCCTTCATCCCATCCACTTGTTGATCTGAGAAATGTAGCTTTAATTTGTGGTGGGAATGTAGTAAATGCCTCTATTCTTTCCAGATATATCCTTAGCTAAGCCTTGTTTATTCCCTAGGAAAATGAAAGAAAGATCAACAATCAGCAACTTGCCATTCCACCTTCTCCTAAGACCAAGAATTAACGGCTTCCAGAACCCTCCTCCATCACACATCTTGGGGCTGTTGACAGGTGGCGCTCTGCAAGGTGGAGTGTCTTTTATTCCTGTGCAGTTGGTCTGTATAAGAGGCCACCTCTGGAGCTCAGAGACCTGGCAGCACCAACATAAAGACTTAAATACAAACAGAACCATGGTCCTACCCCATTCATCCCCAGGAAACCCATACAGAGGGGATGGACATACATGTTTTGTCTGTTTAGTTCAAAACCATCTACTGGAACAACAGTTGCAAGTCACAGGTCAGCCGGAAGGGGAAAGGCGGGTGGTCAGCACTCTCTCCATCTTCCCTCCTGGAGTGTGAGGGCCACCAAGGGCCACATGGCAGTCCTTCTGGCAGACACACAGAGCTCCAAAATTGGCTTTCCTTCATCTAATTTCATCCTCTAACTGAAGGTAGCAGCTCCAAAACCATCTTTAAAAGGGCTCCTTCTCTATATATAATTTATATATATTTACATATGTACACGTTTATGTCTATATAAAAATGGAGGCAGTAGTGGCCTCGATGGATGGGAGGTGAGGTGGGCACACACGTGAGCGGAGTCAACTTGGCACTGAGGCAGCCCACATCCTGGGTTATTGTAATGTGAGGAAGGAGAACTGTGCCAGCTTGCAGAGGTGGCTGGGAGGAAGAGGAAAGGACAGTGCTGGTGGTCCACAGACCTGTGGCTGGTCAATTCAGAGGACAGAGGAGGAGAAAGGAGCAAGGGGTCCAGCTGAGCCCCAAAGTCCAGGCCCACCCTCACAAACATGGGATGAGGGAGGAGCTCAGACAGAAGAGGGGCCTGGGGAAGTGGCAGCCCTCCCAGTCTGTCCAGTGAGAAGGTGCTAGAGCATTCATCCCCTGGCCCACAAAGTGAGGCCTTGTGTCAGGCAGGCAATGAGGGCTGGGGAGAGTCGTGGCCAGAGATGGCGCAGGATGAAAGAAGCCCAACACCATGAGTAGCATCTCCATCTCCTTGGCCCACAGGGCTCTCCACACCCCTCTGGTTGCCTGTCAACTGCCTGGAACTTGGTCCAAGCAGCCACTGGCCAGAATTGTGCTCACTGACCCCTCTGGGGGCATTTGCCTGCACATTCACACTGGAGTATCAGGCTCAGTGGCTTTGCTGCCAGTCACAAGCCCATGGCCCTGGCTGAGGGCAGGGCTCGAGTGTGTCTTCCGGAGGGAAGGATCATCCCCTTCTAGAGTTGACAGTCGAGCCTCAATCCGTTCCAGATCATCTGAGCCCACTTTGATTTTCACAGCCAGAAGATGGACGTAGGTCTCATAACGGCTTTTCTGGGGAAAGGGCAGAAAAGGGCCAAAAACAAGATCAAAAGACATATAACAAAACTGGAAAAATTATTTGTATCTTGTATAACCAAAGACTAATCTTAATATACAGAGAGTTCTCACAGATCAATAAAAATAAAATAAACTGTTCATAAAAATAAGCAAGGAATAGGCAGAGAAATTTCACTTCCAATTTTGAAAAATGCAAATGATTGTCAATGTTTTTCTTTTTTTGGCTGTGACACCAAAAGCACAAGCCACAAAAATAAAAATAGACAAACAGTACTGCATTCTTGTGATCTTAATATACAGAGAGTTCTCACAGATCAATAAAAATAAAATAAACTGTTCATAAAAATAAGCAAGGAATAGGCAGAGAAATTTCACTTCCAATTTTGAAAAATGCAAATGATTGTCAATGTTTTTCTTTTTTTGGCTGTGACACCAAAAGCACAAGCCACAAAAATAAAAATAGACAAACAGTACTGCATTCTTGTGTTGTGTTTCAGGATGAAAGAAGCCCAACACCATGAGTAGCATCTCCATCTCCTTGGCCCACAGGGCTCTCCACACCCCTCTGGTTGCCTGTCAACTGCCTGGAACTTGGTCCAAGCAGCCACTGGCCAGAATTGTGCTCACTGACCCCTCTGGGGGCATTTGCCTGCACATTCACACTGGAGTATCAGGCTCAGTGGCTTTGCTGCCAGTCACAAGCCCATGGCCCTGGCTGAGGGCAGGGCTCGAGTGTGTCTTCCGGAGGGAAGGATCATCCCCTTCTAGAGTTGACAGTCGAGCCTCAATCCGTTCCAGATCATCTGAGCCCACTTTGATTTTCACAGCCAGAAGATGGACGTAGGTCTCATAACGGCTTTTCTGGGGAAAGGGCAGAAAAGGGCCAAAAACAAGATCAAAAGACATATAACAAAACTGGAAAAATTATTTGTATCTTGTATAACCAAAGACTAATCTTAATATACAGAGAGTTCTCACAGATCAATAAAAATAAAATAAACTGTTCATAAAAATAAGCAAGGAATAGGCAGAGAAATTTCACTTCCAATTTTGAAAAATGCAAATGATTGTCAATGTTTTTCTTTTTTTGGCTGTGACACCAAAAGCACAAGCCACAAAAATAAAAATAGACAAACAGTACTGCATTCTTGTGGCTTGTGTCTAGATGTCTCCCAAAGAATGCAGTACTATTTGTCTATTTTTATTTTTGTGGCTTGTGCTTTTGTTGCTTTGCTACTTTCTGCCTGCCATGAACTATTTTCTTGTCAATGCCCCTCTGCCATGTGCCACTCTGCCTTGGAGCCAGCCAACTGTGGACTGAAACCTCTACAAACTGTGAGCCAAACAAACCTTTCCTCCCCTAATTTGTGGGTATTGGGTAGTTTATTTCAGCAATGAGAAAAGGAAGACATGCATCAAAACATAAAACTTCTATACATTGAAGGATATAACCAACAGAGTTAAACAGCAACCTATAGAATGGGTGAAAATATTTTAAAATTACTTATTTGGTAAGGGGTTTACACCCCAAATATATCAAGAGTACCTACAATTTAACACCAAAAAAAAAACCCAATTTAGAAAGGAGCAAATGACAGGAACAGACTTTCTTTAAAGAGGATATACAAGGGACAACAAATGCACACAAATATGTTCATCACTAACCACTAAGAAGGCGTAAATCAAAAGCACAGAGATATCATTCCATGCCTGTTATGCTGACAACAAAAAAACAACACAGAGAAGTGTTGGTGAGGTGAAGAATTTGGAACCCCTATACACTGCTGGTAAGAATGTAAAATTGTGCAGCTGCTATGAAATCAGTGATGGTTTCTGAAAAAGTTAAAAATAGAAATACATTCTGATCTAACAATACCACTTCTGGCTATATATCCAAAAGCAATGAAAGCAGCATCTTGAGGGATACTTGTACACTCATGTTTATTATAGCATGAGTCACAGTAGCTAAATGATGGAGCAACGCAAATGTCCATCGACTGATGAATGGAAAAACAAAATGATGATATGCATGTGATGGGATATTATTTATCATGCTAACTAATAAAGGAAGCAAATTCTAAAGCATGCTAAAACATAGATGAACCTTAGCATTATACTAAATTACATAAGCTAATCACAAAAAGACAAGTTCTGCATGATTCCACATATATAAGGAATAAGGAGCACTCAACATCGTAAAAAAACACTGGGTACAGTGGAACACAGCTGTAATACCAGCTACTCATGAGGCTGAGGCAGAAAGGTCCCAAGATGGAAGACAACCTGAGGAAATTAGCAAGACTCACTTTCAAAAAAAGACTAGGAATATAGCTCAGTGGCAAAGCAAGCACAAGGTCCTGGATTCGATCCCCAGTACCACCAAAACAAAAATCATAGAAGTAGACATTAGATGGCTAGCTGTCGGGGGCTAAGAGAAGGGCCACAGTTTAATGGGTACAGAATTTCAGTTTGAGAAGATAAAAAACCTAAATTAAAATAGTAATGACACTGATTATTAAACCTGTCAGATTAACAAAGATAAAACATTGGACAATGCCAAATGTTGGTGAGGCTATGGGGAAATAACTATTAATAAACTATTAAGGGGGTTATTAATTGGTATTAACATTGAGAGATTTAGTGGTATCTGAGGGTCTCGCCTCAACTTCGGAGCCTCACCACAACCAGGAGAACCAGGAGTCCTGAAGGACCAGAGACTAAGAGTCAGGGACTCTTCTCTCCCCCAGCTCTGCCAGCCACAGCAGTGAGAACTTTCTTGCTTCACCTCCTCGCACCCCTGCATCAAGCCAGGTGAGACTGAGAGGACTGCACTGAAGCTACAATCACCTACATTAGGGTCCTGGCTCCCTCATTTCTTAGCTGTGTCACTTTTAAGTACTCTGACCTCTCTGAGCTTCAGTTTCCCCACCTATAAAATGGAGGTAACAACACAGTCCTTTTCATAGAGTTGGTTCCAGGGTGAAATCAGTCAGTGAAAGGAAAGGAGAATCAGGCCTAGCATTTAGCAAAAAGATCAGTCTCTGATCTCTTTTGCCATCACTATGTTTACACGGCAGAGAGTAGATGTGAGCAGACTTCAAAATGCTACCAAGCATTCTGTTTTTCAAAAGGTCAGGGTCTACCTTGGGAACTCTCCTCTGCCCCACACCTCAACAGAAAGTCAATGTGGAATCTACAGACTGAGATTGGTGATGTTCTGCACCTCCTGCTCTGAGAACCGCCTGGCTCAGTCTCAGCCTTTCTGTTTGTCTGACTGCCCCGTCTGCAGGGCAATCCAAAATGGACAAGTGCTTCTGGCTTCCTTTCTCCAGCCTGGCCCCACATCCTTCACCTGACAAAGGTGATGCCTGGTCAGCCTCATCCGCAGAGCATGGTGAGGCGGAATCGTGGGTAGACAGCGACAGTATGGAAAGCAGGGAGATGAAGTTGCTCTGCTGCTAAACATGAGCAGGAGGAAAATTAGGCCAGTGAGGGAGGCTGTCCAGTGGCCAGGCCTTGAGAGTTTTGTGGGTTAATTGTAAAATCTTCTAAAGGAGCTGAGCTTGCCCTTTATGGGAGGTGAAGGTAGTTCTAGAAAGTGCCTGGAAGTTGGTATTATTTCTGCTGGAGGGCCCTAGTGTTCTTGGAGAGACCCAAATGGAGGTGCCAATTGTTTGATCACCATTGGGCAGCTGAGCTGTGTAAAACTGGCCCACAAAAAGTCATGGTTCATCATTACATTACCCCTGCCTCCGGAGAGCACCCACAGTAGGGAACTCCCTAACTAGGAGCCCCTGGCTGTGGAAGGTGGTGGGAGGAGCGGGGTAGGGGAAACCGGCCTCATCCTCTGGTCCCAACTTCAACCCTCGTGATGCACCCACTGGAGGCCCACCTCAAACATGAGATAGTGCTCCTTCAGCCGGTACTCCTCTGCCTCTTTGGACTTGAGGCCCCTCTCCACTGCATGACACCTGTGCTCGGCCAGCTCTGCAGTCACCTGCCTCAACTTATTCTCATGAGACCGCAGCTGCTCCTCCTGCAAAGACAAACCCTGGACTGTAAGGCCCAACTCTTGCAGTGGTGGGGCTGGGTCTAACCCCATACCACGAGGAGCTGCTTCACAAAGGGAAATGGAGGCTGCCCAGTGTTCCCAGACCCGCGGAGGTAAAGCCAGGCTCTGGATCCAGTGGAGAGCTCCTCCAAGCTTCTTCCCTCCCCCCACCTTCCTCCTTCCTCCCCTTGCTCTCAGGGGCATCCACTGTCTTCAGTGACCCAGCAGCCTTGGGAGTGGACAACTCTTACACTTACATATATGCACTGCATTCCACAGGCACCCTCGACTCACTGGAACTCCCACATGTACACAAACACACTGGGTCAAGCATCAGCCTGACCCAATTACCCGTGGTTGCATAGGACACATACATTCTCTCACATTCAGCCTCAGCCGCACATGACAGTCACAGCTCCAGGATCGCACCCAAAGATAAGCTATGACAGACGAGTACACACGCATCCCACCCACTACAGTACATACAGCCAGGCCCCTTGGTGCAGTGTGCACATGTGAATGTGTGTGGACACGTGTGTGTGTATGTACTCATGTGTGCATGTGTGCTTCAGTGGTGTGTGCATGCACGTAGAATAGGTATGCTCTCTGTGAATGTGTACACAGGTGATCTGGGCAGATATGAGGCCTCCAGAGCTCCATGGAAAGAAAAGGGCCCAAAGGGAAGGGAACCAATGGCTGACAAACAGGAAGTGTGGTGCCTTCCCAGCCCTCTGCCTCTCAAGTTCCACCCCACCATTTATTCTTTCCTCTCCAAAAATACCCTGAAACCCTGCAGTATCGATGCGATGGGTTTTTTGGAGGGTTACAAATCAAATATCTAAGGATATATGAGAACATCAAAACAGTATTTTTAGACATTGTTTTTAAAAAACAAAAAATGACAAATGCTATCAAGGATGCAGAGGAAAAAAAAACCTTATATACTGTTAGTAGGGATGTAAATTAGTACAGGCATAATGGAAAACAGTTCCCCGAAAAGCAAAAACTAAAACTACTAGCCATCCCACTCCTAGGTTTATAGCTGAAGCAAATGAAGTCAGCATGCCCAAGAGATATCTGCATCCCATGATTACTGTGGCACCATTCACAAAAGCCAAGATAGGGAATCAGTCTAGGTGCCCATCAACAGATGAATGGATAAAGAAAATAATGGTGTTAAATACAAACCGTGGAGAATTATTCAGCCATAATGAAGAATGAAATTTTGCCACATTAAGTGATATAGGCTAGACACAGAAAGGCAAGCATCTCATGTCCCCACTAATTTGTAGAAGCTGAAAGAGGGTTCCCTAGGGAAGAGGGTTGGGGGGGACAATGTAGGAAGAATGGGTGAGGGTGGAGAAGAGACGGACATGATCAATGTATGATATGTGCATGTATGGAAATATCAGTGAGTCTCATTAATTTTTAGAGTTAATGTGTTGATAATACTTTTAAAATATATAAAAAAGAGCACTGGACCAAGAGCAGCCAAGTCTCACCTATTCCTAGCTCCCTGCGACACACACAACCTCTCACATTTATGCCTCGATGCAAACAACCACCACAGGGATGTGCCCCAGAGTCCAGCACAGAATAGATGGCCCCTGTGTGACGTGTGGCCTCAGTCTCCCCACCTGTAAGTGGGAATGAGGCACACGGAATAGGGGAGAAGATCTGCCCTTTCCTGGTGTCCTTCAGTCCAAGATCAGGTTCTTTCTAAAGAAAGAACTGGGGTGGTGCTGTCAAATGGGGGCTGAGGGCAGCAGCCCGGGTGCTGGAATCATGAACCCAGGAACCTGTACCTGGCAAAGACGAGTGGCACAAGAGGGAAGCAGGGGCCGACAGAACTTCTTCATGGAGCTGACAGCAGCTGGGAAGGCTGGGGCTGAAAAGATGGTAGCCACCAGGTTGATCCTCAGGATCCAGGACAGCATTTCTTCCTTGCTCCTGGAGACAGGAGAGCGGGGAGGATGCCAACTTCTGACAATAGGACTTCCTGCCCTCTCAGATGTCCAGTACCCAGTGTTAGTGCTGGCACAGAAAGGGCACTCATACCTTTACATAGATGGGGAAAGGGGGGCAGGGTGGAACCAGTGGGTGCATGGACCTAGACAGAGCTGATGGCCCTGGAGACGATGAGCTCAAAGGGTGACAGGACAATGGGGAAGTGGTGGTCCCCAAGGCCCTCCTGTCTTACCCCTGCTGCCTGCCTAGGCCTTACCCTCTGATCCCCAGCCTCACCTACCCATCTCCCCGCTTTTAAGCTCATCTGACACCTAAAAACACAATTTCAAGTCACAGAGGTATGAAGCACAATGAAGTGAAAGACAGCTGTTACAGGTCAACTGTAGGCAGACTCTCTCCTGCTGGACCACACAGTTAAAGTCAAGTATAATTTGTTGAGTCCATTGTCCCGATCCCTCAGGGATGTTGGCAGCCCTGACAGGGCTGGTGAAGGTACAGTTGCTGAGCCCCACCTCAAAGTTTCTGATGTTGGTAGGTCAAGGGCGGGACCAGCAAGATTGCATTTCTAACCAGTTTCCACTGCGTGCTGAGAGTCCACACTTTGGAGGACCGAAAGCAGCTGTGGGCCTGTGTCAAGTGGACACACTGGCTCTGTGGCTGCTGTGTATGGGAAGCTGAGGTGTGGACCTCGACCACCAGGAGAGGGCTGTGTGTTCGGTCCATGCTGCAAGGCCTGAGCCTAGTGGGAACAAAGGGTTCAGATTCCTACTTACGGGGCCTGGAAGAGGAAGACCCTCCAGTCAGCAGTCTTCAGCTTGAGCACATTGGACTTCTTGCTGTAGTCAGAGGCCCTGGTGGCCAGAGCATGATGCACCCGAATGGCATTCTTCAGGTCACCCTCTGACAGAGCCTTGTCAGGCCTGTACTCATCCTGAGGAATGGGGGCTCTGTCACTGCCAGGCCCTAGTTTATGACCCCACATATTCCACTCCTTCTCACTTCTCCCCCTTGTCATTCCATCTCCTGATCCCCCAGAGTCACTCTAGGTGACCTTCTTCTGTACTCGTCTGTCCTAGGGACATGACACTGGGTATCCAGAGTCACTGGGCATTTCAGAGACCCCTCCCAAAATCTGCAAAGCCCTGAGTGAGCCTGGGTCAGGGCCCTGATAAAGGAAGGACCCAGACCACCCTGCCTAAAGTTCAGGTCCTGCCCAGAAGCTCTTGAGTGGCACAAGGCAAAGGCTGGATGGGACTAAGCTGGTCCTTCCTGGGAAGGACTCGGGCAGTCTCACCTTCTGCAGGTACAGGATGGTCCCCTTGAGCACCGCGTAGAATTTCTTCCAGCCACGCCTCCCACGGGGTGCTGGGGAGGGGGGCACAGGTAGTGCAGCCACAAACACCCACTCCAGGGTCTCCTACCTACCTCCCCCTGCATGTCCACCTGCATGTGCATCCCCAAAGGTGCAGCCGAGGGGTGGGCCCCTAAGCCAACATCCCTCCCCGGACCCCCTTCCCCAGCCTGATACCCACTCCTCTTGCCATCCATGTCAGCATGAGTCTTCCGAGTCAGCACACCATGCTTGTAGGTGGTAGCACTGAAAGCCTGAGGGACGTCCAGGAAGGGGTTGCCGCCATCGAGGATCCGTGTCACCTTCTTTGTGCCTGTCCCAAACTTGTCATCCACCAGCTCAGACAGGGATTTCCTCAGCTCATCCTCATCACTGGGAAGGTACCAGGCTTGAGCACTACCTCCAGGGAGCCCTCATCCCCACATCACCATGACCTCTCTCAACCACCCTGTAGCCAGTGTGGGCAGACTGATGCTGCTGCACAGACCACATCATGCTGGCAGAGGGCAGGTGAGCCCATAAAGTTTGGGCTCACCATGAAAGCTCTTCCAAAGGAACTGAGGCCCCTAATCCTCTACATGGATCCAAAGCCACAGGCTTCTGTGGGAAGCAGATCAGGGAGAGGTTCCTCTGAAGTGTCTCATAGCTTCTCTGACAAGCAAGGTCTCCACCCCTTTCTCCCTATGTCTGAGCACCTCCAGATCTCACTGACCACATAGGGAAAGTTAACTGACAGCTGCCCTCCCTACTTCCAAGACCAGTCATCATCTAAACATAGTCATATTCTCAGGGTTGTAGGAGAACTGTGCCTCCTGCCTACCTACCTCCCAAAGGGGAAAGCACTGTCACTGTTGGGGACTTGGCAATATCCTCAGTACAGAAAAACAACTATGGATATCATGGAACTAAATTCATAGCTTGAAAGCAATGTAAACAGCATACACTGTTTAACAAGAATAGACCCAAAAAAGGAACTCAAAGATATGTGTTACCCAGCTGTACAGGGGCCATCAGGGGCCTGGATTTGGGAGAGTTCAGCACCATGGAGAGTGGTCTACATGACTAATCAGTACCCCAGCTACTCCCTCTCCCAGTTCGGTCTCCCTGAACCTGTGCTCATGAGCACTACTCACATAGCCCATTCCAGCTTTTCATTCTTGATGGAGCTGTAAAGGGTCTGGAAGAGAGGAAAAGAGAGGAGTTCAAGTAAAGAGTCAAAGAAACCCCCATCTACTCCAGCAAAGTGGGTGCAGTGGGGGAGCACCTTTTAAGCTAATGGGCAGAGGTGTTTGATTCATACTTTGGGTGGATGGGTAGTATTTAGTGGTGCAATAATTTACTGTCTGTCCCTCCAGGAAACAATAAGCTTCAGAAGATCAGGAGTTGACTATCGTGTTCACCACTGAATTTCCAGTGCATAATCTAGAACTCAACATGGAGTAAATGTTCAGCAGGATGGATGAATGGATGGGTGGATTAGCAGACAGAGATGGGAAGATGGGTGAGTACACAGATGCATAGGGAAATGGATAGGTAAGGGTAGGTACACAGGTGAGTGGGTGGTGTATGAGACAATGTTGGGAGTGAAGGTGCAAGGTGTAAATGGTGGGTAAAATACTGGGTATGCAGGAAGGTGAGTGACTGAGTGCTCCCCAAAACAAACTTTTTCTTCCTGCAAGATAGAGAAATTACTAGGCTGGAAAGATCAGAGGTCTACTCCAGGCTTAAGCCTCAAAAGAAAATTGATTCATTTAATTCCTGGTGATGTTGTAGGAATGAGTGGGCTTCTCCCCATTGTGCCAGTGATGATGGTTGTGGTGAAGGTACTGTAGTGGTAAAGGAGATGGTGATATGGCTATTGGTGAAGTGGTGATTATTTACTGTGACAACAACGTTAATAATTGCAGCATTAAAAACAAATCTCACAGAACAATTGAGCTGGATGGTCTCTAACTCTTTCCCAAAGTTCTGGTGGCCCTGCCCCTGGTTTTAAGGGCCTGGAATGCCAAGATTTAGTGGGACAGAGACTTCGCTCCACCCATCCAGTGCACACCTATGGACACATGGACCCTAAGCCAGTAATACCTTCAGGAGGTCTTTGGAAAAGTCTTGGCCATCATTCAGCTGGTCCAGATTGGCAATGAACTGCTGGCAGGACATCTTCTTGCCAATGTTCTATTATGGAGAAATGGTTCTGCCTGAGAGTAGGGAAGGAAGCTGGTGTGGTCCTCACAGCCAGCCCTTCCAAGCCAGAAAGAATAAGACAGCATCCAGGGCAGTAATGAAAATAAAACTGCCTGGATTCCTTTGTCTCCAAGAGTTTACAAAACTTTTTTCACATTCAAGTTTCTCTTTGATCCTCAAGCATCATGAAAGGTGGGTTCTCTTCAAACTCAGATGAAGGACTCAGGTGTGAATGAAGTATGACAACTGACATTTGGGAGGTGCCTACCATGTTCCAGGTTTGTACTTGACATGCATTATCTTATTTCCTTCTCCTCACAGAGGAAGGAAGCTGGGGGCAGGAAGGTTGGAGCAACGTGCCCATGATCACACAGCAAGACAGTGAAAGGGCCAAGTGTGTCCGACATCAAAGCCCATGCTCTCACCGCTCCTCCACAGTAACTCCCTCAAGGTTACTCAGCACCAGGACTTGAACCCAGGCTTCTCAGCTGCCTATCAGAAGCTCTGTGTATTCCATCACAACCACCTCATGCTCTCACCTGCACAGAGCAGCAGCAAGACCTCCAAAAGGTAGGTGAAGTAAGGGCGAGTTTGGTCTTATGAAAGTCAAAAGTCAATTTCCACCAACACAAATAGGTGCCCCATGCTGAGCCGGGCTGATACAAAGAGAACCAAGCAGATGGCTTCACTCCTGGAAGCACAAAGAGCCGGGAATGTACCCCAAGTTCTGCCTGTGGTAGCTACTGAGTAGTAGAGGGGTTTGAGCCCTCTAAACCCACACCTGATGCCCACACTTTCTGACTCTGCTTAGAGCATCCACATTTGAGGAAGCACTGGGCAGTGCTTGATCTTTGTGGGGTTTTTGTGGATTGGGTTTGCTAAAAGCAATGTCTCCTCAGATTTACCTACAGAATCCTAGTACCCCAAGAGATGGGAATAGGAATTCTTGCAAAAAAGAATATAATAATCAGATAAATTTATTTACATGCTTCAGAGTCTTTAACATGCTTGTGATTGGCAGGATTCCCCAGGGAGAGAAGTCCAAGTACATTTACCCAAATTTGTTGATGTTGGCACCATTTTAGCAAAGTGAATTTATTAACATCATGTGAAACATTCATAGGCCACAGAAATAATTTGAAAAACAATAATGTAAGGCTTTCCATGCTGACAATAATAATTTTCTACACTGTCTCTGAAGAGTTAAGGAGAAAAAAATCCTCTCTGTGCCTTGACACAAGTTTGTTTCACATATGTACAGTATATGTTTTTACATGTACATAACTGTATCTGCATACAAATAAATCTTCATAGAAATCCATCTGTAAAGAATACAAAAGCAATATTGATAATATTGTCTATGGATTATACACACTCTAACCATTTCCCAGCCATTAGTCAGGATTGCAAAATTAAGAAAATGACTGGCAAGATTTCCAGTCCTGATAATGACAAATTATCTTGCAGCAGAGGAACCTTTCTAGTAGAAAAAGTGTGAGTTGATATATTAATAAAACATCTGTGTGAAGACACTGGAGAAATACAAAAGCGGTGAGGACTTCAAGGCTAAAGATCCTGCCAAGAAGGGAACATGAAGAGTGATCTCAACAAGGAGCAGTTTTCCCCCTTGAAACACTTACCAAGTCACAAGAGCGGCCCAAAGGCTGAGCAGCCAGATTGTCTCATAGGACTGGAGAATGAAAACTGGACCCACTGAGAACAAGAGGCTTTGGGGAACACCCCAGTCATACTGCAACAAAAAAACTGAAGAAAGGAAATATAAAGAGAGTTCTTCAGGCAGAAGGAAGATTATTCCAGATGGGGACACGGAGAAGCAGAAAGGGTTGAAAAGCAACAGCAAGAGTGGGTAACTCTGAACACTGATGGTGTAGAGAAATGATAAAGTTTCCTGGGGATAAAATATTCATAGATATAATACTTAAAAGCATGATAACAATAATATATAAGTCATATGTCCGTAGAGCTGTATATAAGCAGTAAATGGAATTAAAAATATCAGGAAGTAGTAAAAGTATTTCAGTGAGTCAAAGGTGCATATTGCAAACCACAGACAGAATTCTAAAAGAATGCACAGCTAACAGAAGGGAACAGAATTCTCAAAACCCTTAATCCAAAAGTTGGCAAGAAAAGAGAGAAAAAAGGAATATGGAACAGATAAGCTGAAGAGAAAACTGTGTTCTCTTGTATTTAAACTAAAATATATCATAACTCATAAAATAGTCAAATTAAAAAATAATATCAGTCCTGGGGTTTTTTATATGTGATATGATACAAGGGCCAGGGATTTAGCTCAGTGGTGCCACCACCTGCTTCACAAGTTCAAGGTCCTGAGTTTGATCCCTG